GTAAGTAAAGCCTAGACAGAAAAAAAAATGATAATGTTTAAATAATTTTCCAAATCCCAAGTTCAATACAAATGCATATGCATGTAACATTTTTATAATTAAATAAGTTCTATTACAATTAAATAATTACTACTTTCAGGTGGTATATACTGAATTTTTACCTATGCTAACTATATTATCAACTTAAGTTATTAAGTTATATTCCTTATTTAACATAATCCTACCAATCTTGAAACATCAGAAAACAGTTACCTAATAATAACAGAAATGTTATTTAATTTCATTTCTAAAATTGCATAGCATGAAAACTGTCACACCTGAGCACAATACACTTCATTTAGTAGATCTGTTGAGCTAGATTGTTAACTTGGAAGAACCACATTGTCTCTTGCTAACTTGCACATTTTTTTTCTCCAAATCTTTTTTTCAAACTAGATGTAATACATGTACTGTCAACATTCAGTCAAATAACAGACATCAGACTGTAAGGCGACCGACCAATAATAGCAGGGTGGCACTCACTCCTTAGAATAAGTAACCAACAGTATCTACTCAAGGATAAAGCCATGAAAGCGAGGACTAGAACAGATGAATGGAAATGAGAATTACACCTACTAGAGAGTGGGGGGAAATGGGATTACAGTGTTTGACTTATAATTAACATTATAAAGTAAATAAATGGATTGATTCTGTGGCTCGGGTCATGGCGGTGGGTGTGTCAGAGACATTAAGATTGACATAGGATAAAGCAGGTTTAGGGCTTTGTACATAGGGTCATTACAAGTCACAGGAGACTAACTGGCACATAACAAAAACAAAGCAAAATATGTATTACAGATAAAATGAAAAAGTTTCTGTAAACTTTTACCCAAATAACACTTTCATATACTATGTGTTGTTTTTATTGTTGTTGATAATACGCATATTCTAGAATATAGAACTTAAATTTACTCCAAGAACAAAGCTCCAATACAAAACTTTAATTTAGGAATAAGAATTTTCACCTATTAGATTAGTTTCCATTTGGCAAGAGCAAGGATTCATTTTTGTCATCTTTAAACACTAAATGCCATGCAGAAAATATGAGGATCAGTATTTCCTAACTGAATAAATATCATGAAATAGCAAATCAGAAGCTAAGCAGATTAAGTAGCTTTTCTAGTAAAGATAATCTATAAATTCAGCTCTGAAACGGAAATGCTCAAAAGGAGTTACATTTACACATAAAGGAACATACATGTAAATAACTTCAAAAGTAGAGACAATACATTAAAAACCAAATGCATATAAACAATCATTAATATTACCTTATTACATTACCCACTGCCATCAAGTTAATTCTTATACATAGCTATCCTGCAGAACTGGGAAGAAATGCAAAAGAACTTAACATCTATAGTCAACTGAAAACATAACTGAGTGATTGTCCTCTAGAGATGCTCAACCATCCAATATTAGCACAAACTCAGGATGAAAGTTTGCTGAGTACGTTCAGCAGATGGAGATGGAGCAAAAGAACTAGGGACATTAGTGGACAAGTAGTCCATATGGTGATCTATGAGTCAGGAGGCCTGGTTACAAGAGGTCCAACAACACAGGAGAAAGCAGAGGAAACGTAAGACCTTCACATATACTCTAAAACACAAAGCATGAAATACATACGGAAAACCAGAAACTAAAAAATTTTGAATAATTCTGGAGTTCAAGACTAAACTGGAAAAAGAATACAGTTGTGAATAAAGACTTCAAATACACTCTTGGCATTTCAACAATGGAATTTCCTGCTATGGGGTTTAAAAGGTACCCAAATTATGCTAGTTATAAAGGAGTGGTAAAATCATTTTTCCACATATTTTCAAGGAGAAAAGTTCTGAATTTTTAAAATATAGATTAACTTTATATAATTAATCACCTTTATTATCTGCAACTGAACACCCTCGTCTGTTTGGGGACCCTGGAAACAACCACATATTGTTTCAATAATTCTGTCAATTAATTTTTTGCCTGGAGTTGTACTATCTGGAGCATTGCCAGTCAAGTGTCCATAAGCAATAAGTTTCTGAAATGGAGAAAGAAAATACAGAATCTAATTAAACAAATACTTAAGTTTAAACATCCATCAACTGAATATAAAATATTTCACATAAAAATATTAAGGTTTTAAAAAGTAAAAGGTTAGTGCAACAATGAATGAATGGAAATCCAAAATCTCTGTAAATGTTCATTAAAATTATTAAAATAAAAAAGAAAAAAGTAAATGGTTATAACAACTTTTTCTGAAAAAGTTTATTAGCAATAAATATGTGGTCAACAACTACAACAAAGCCATCAGAAAATAAGCCAAGCTTTGAGAACCTGAATCTGATGAATTAAAATAGTTCATTACTTTTTATACAGATGAAGTGTTACATTGCTTTGTGAAAACATTTTAAATGATTAAAAATCCCTTCCAAATTAGATCTATCAACAGGCTCCATATACTGGCTGCAATATGTCACATACTTGCTAACCCATTATTACCCTGATATCCTGGAAGGAAGGCTTATAGTAACTTTAATACCTTATAATTAGAAATTATAATTCTAGTTTTCCATGTAAAACATGATAAAAAAAAAAAATCAAGCGAATTTATCCTTAGCCTATCTTAATGACAAGTCATATGGTCTTTATAGCTACTGAACTGTTTATGGAAAAGGTATAGTTACCAACAAATGAAAACCTGAAAAGAGAACCTCTGCATCTGGAGGTTTGTCAGGTGCATAACACAGGTAGGATAAACGATTCAAACAATGCTTCTAACATAGATGAATATTACATGTTAAGTCCAACAGTGACTAAACACTAAGTAGTTAATATTACTCTACTATTTTATATCAAACAGCAGGCATTTAGTAAAATTTTCCAAACGATGCTATATGTAAAGTCAGAAGCAAGCTAAAATATAAAGACTTGTGCATTTCACTCCTGAAAAGAGAATCTCACTGTTGAAAAGCAATACTTCCAGTATGACAGCCTTAGTAAAGATTTTGTATCACGTTAAATTAACTGATGTTATGGTTATTGTTAAACTAGAAGTAGCTTTTTTTTTTACATTTGTTGTTATTTATGTTGACTTTATTATGTTTCTAATTATAAAAATAATATTCAGGACTTTAATAGAAAAAGCCTGAATCACAAGCTGTGATTGTATTTTAGAAATACATTCAGACCGTGTTAAAATGAATGCTATTTCATACATACCTGTAAACAATCTAAAGATGTACTAACTATTCGGGGACATTTAGACTGACATGCCAACTCAAAGGGTAAGAAGTACTTGTCTGCTTCAATAAAATTTGTCTTTGATTTCACTGGTGGGAGGGTACTTGATCCAGTTTTTGTTTCTCCATGAGGAGGACTACACAAAAAAGAAGAGTGTGATTAGAACGTCACATTTATCATAGTGATAGCAAACTAAAGCGGCATACAAATTTCTGCTCTCAAAGAAGTCTAATTAAAGCCAGGCCCATCTTCCCATGTTTCACTAAGAAACAAAAGTCTAGAGAATCTAAGTGATTTTGTCACAAAGTCAAATAAATGCTAACGCACTTAAAACAGGGAACTGACTAAAATGCAAGACAACAGATTCTCATTAATTTTTTCAGTGACCCCAAGAGAATTCTAAGATAGATATTTTAATATTTTATTAAAATGTGTTATAACAGCTTATTAAAAGTAATGGGTTTTTATTTATCTTTAAGTAAACTGCATATGTGAGTTATTTAAGACTGTCCTAAAGAGATTAACTCTATTAAAGAAATAAAATAATTTTTTTTCTGAATGTAAAAAATCTTTGAGAGGGAGCAAAGCCTTTAAAGAATTATGGTATTTCAAAATAATCTTGCATATTTATTTATAAAAGACCTTTTTCTATTTGTAAGTTTATAATTACAACTTTGTGAAAAACTTTTAAAAGGCTTTAAAAAAATACTACCAAATTGTATGCAAAAAATCTGCCACATTAAAATATAAATCAATATATTACTATTTTGGCCAAGATCAACTGTTTGCAAATTACTTTTACTAAAGAAGAAAAATACACAAACCTTTGCTTTTCAGTTTCGGCTTTTATTTCCTCTGGGGGCATGGGAAGGAAAAAAAGTATACATTAGAAAGACTGACAACAGAAAGATCATGATTATACGATTTATAAATTACTTTGTAACTTCTTCAAAATGTAGGCAAGATTTTATATGTTAAAATTCTACTAAAAAAATTTTGTTCCAGTCAAATGTATTAATTCAGACAACATGGAGTTTATCTTTCAATGACTTTTGTTTGCCATTATTTGACTTTGCAATGTAGATGGGATGCAAATTGGGGATGATGGCCTATCCAAAAGGGGTTTGGCCCATCTCAACAATCTACAAGGAGTTTGGCTAGTCTCGCCAATAAGTTGAACAACTCTAGCAGTAGAAACAGATCTTCTGGCACCATTGAAGAAGAAAAAGCAAGAAAAAAAAAATGGACACCTTTTTTGCTCCAGCTACACATACAGTAAAACTGGAGACCTAACGTGAGATGAGACCTGGTGGGGGGCAGGACTGAGAATACTGTTAGACAACTGGGGGGTGGGGTGCCAATACTGACCAGAATGAGAAGTTGGGGGCACTGGCCAAAAGGCCTTGAGGTTTGAGACTGAGGTGCCTGCGTGTACATTTTGGGAGCTGTCTTGATTGCATTTTGTTATTCATCTGGATTATAACCTTTTGACTCCCTCAATATGGCTCTGTGTAGTTTGTGAGCTAGGACATCAGACTATAGACTCAGCAAAGCAGTAAGTTTGGTGTTGAGATGAGTAGAAAGAGGTATGGGAGCATGGGGGACATGTATAACTTCATGGGAATTGGTTTTGTGCTACGGATGTTGTTGACGGTAAAGTTTCCCATTGTGAAGTTAGTAAAGGTCAGATATGTCCATCTCCACATGTTCCTTGCTCTTTTTACAATTATCATAATTTCATAAAATTATACAGAGAACACGTTGCCGCAAATGTCGGTAATACATCGAAGGTGAAAAAAAAAAGTGTTTCTAAGCATGGTCACCAATTTAAGTGTGTGGCAACATGTTAAGTACCATATGACAGATTTTTAAAAATTCTCATAACTAAATCCCAAAGTACACTTTCTTTTGTTAAGTGATTTCCCCTTCACCCTCCTCCCTCCTGTTAAGTAACTTTTAATGAGAGTAATTAATATTAAAAAGAGAAAAATTATTCATGTTTTACTGAAGCCATAAAATATAAGATACTTACTTATAAAAGGGGGAAAAATCTAAGAAAAGTCACTCTACTTACTATCTGAAGCAGAGTATCAAGTTGGAACTACTACTTCTTAAATATGAACATATACCTTCTCACTGAACAAATTATTTTTATGATACAAAAACTCAAAACAATTCCTCAATTAAAAGCATACAACAAAACTAATGATGAACATTTCTCTCAATGGATACCATTTTCTTTCTTTAAAGAAATGGAAAAATGTAATCATAAACTTTTGTGGAAATGAAAGAGATCTCTCTCAATGAGCAAAGTACTACAAAGTAGATGGTTTTATATTTCTTGTCCTCAAATCAACTACACTGCCACAGGAACCAAAACAGCTTGTTAATGGAACAGCATCAGATATAGACCAATGGAACAAAATTGAGAACCCAGAAATATTATCTTACGGTTGATCTTTGATAGAGGAAATCCAAGAAGTTAGGAAATGATAGCCTCTTTAACAAATGGTATGAGAAAAGTTGGCAATCTATTTGCTGAAAATTGAAACTAGATCTATGTCTCATATCACATAAAAAAAAAACTAAAAATTAATCACAATAAGTGTAAAACCTAAAAGTATGAAACTCCTCAAAAAAAAGAAAAAGTGAGACAAATTAAAAGCCTTCATGTCTGGCACACACTATCAAATATAACTGAAAATGTACAATCAGCAGGGAAATTGTGCTGCTAACCCAAAGGCATAGAATTCAAATCCTGCAGCTGCTCCATGGAGTAAATATGGGCACTCTCTCCCTGTGCAATTTACTATCTCTAAAAACACTAAGGGAAACTATGGGAAGATTCTGGCTCAATGGTAAACAGCAACAAAAATTAAGACTTTTACAGATTAGTAAAAAAAAACCTACAGATTGGGAAAAAATATTTCACAAGTACATCCTTGACGAGAGACTCATCTAAACTCTATAGAAAACGTTAATACCTCAACAAGAAAAAAAGAACTCAATTACAAAATGCACAGAGACATGGAAGGACACATCACCAAAAACAAAGACACTGAGATAGCCAACACATGAAAAAATTCTCAGAACCATTAGCTAATCAAAACTCAAGACTCAGACTCATTACTGTCAAATTGGAACCAACTCATAGGTGACTCACCAGGTGGTTTTCATGAGGCTACAAATAAAACAGGAGGAGAATGCTCATTTTTCTCCTATGAAGCTAGTGTACGCAAACTAGCACAACTTTCTATGGGTTACATCACCAGAGATCCAAATCAAAACAACAAGATAAATTATGTCTACTGCATTGACGTCTATGAGGGAGAGAATAGTTTAACAGTATTATATTTTAGAGCATAATGTTTATCATAAGAGTACGGAATGAGGGTTGCAGAGCGGATTATATACGGGGTGGGGGTGGGGTTGGAGGGTGTGTGTGGGGGAATTGTGTACCAATGAAGGAGTTTTGCTTTTCAAGGAAAGGAGTGAACAGGGGGGGGGGATGGGGTGGGCGGGGAGAAAAGAGCAACAATGAATGAATGGAATTCTAAAATCTCTGTAGATGTTCACTGAAAAAAAAATATTAGTAGGATTTATCTACAGCAACAAAGAAAACACAGAAAAGCAAGTGAAGAACTCAATACCATTTACAATGGTAATAACCACGAAGAAACCTATCTAAAGACACTAAAACCTTTATAAATAAAACTATAAAACACTAAAAAAAAAAACCACACACACACAACGAGATATTATCTCACCCCAGCAACAAGATAGCAAACAAAAAATGCTGTAAGGGTAAGGAGAGATGACGAGGGGGAATGTCAAATGTTGAAGACCCAATGGAAAGCAGTCTGGCACTTCCTCACTCATGGAATTCATGTCTAATGAAACTCATAGCTGACCTTCCCTTGAGTTTCTGAGGCTGTAAATCACACAGGAGGAAACTGTCCATCTTTTTCCCTCAGAGCTGCTGGAGGATTCAAATCACAGAGAGATGTGGCTTTTGAGTTAGCAATGTAATATCCTACTGACTACACTACGAGCTGGGCAGTGAAATGCCATTTGATTGTGCAATCCCCTTACTGAGTATCCCAAAGACATAAGAACTGCAACATGAACAATAAGCACATTGATGTTTAAGCAATAAAGAATTTGTCAAACACTGCATAACATGGATGCATCTAGAGAACATTACGGTAAGTAAGTTAACCATAAAAAAACAAATATAAGATCACTTATACAAGTTACAAAAAGATCATGGAAGGTTTGTATACAGATTAAGACTTATTCTTTGAAGTCTACCAGAGATGAGGAGGGAGGTAGAGAGGAGTTAAAATTAGTAGCTAAGACAAAATGCACATACTATGATGGGTTAAGGAAAAGGCAATATTCAATGAGGGAATGATCAGCACAACATCAATAAAGAAAAGAAATAGAGAGGTATAGGATTAACGAACATAAAAATTATAGGGAGAAAGTGAGAAACATTACATTGTGGGCACAAAAATTGTCATTATAAAATATATATGAATGAAAAATAAATTTTCTTTGTAAATCTTAACTCAAATCACAATTGTTTTTAAAAAAAACCCAAAACTCCAACAACTGCCATAGAGTTGAATCCAACTCATGGCAATCATCTATGCTGCAGGACTGAACTATGCTCCACAGAATTTTCTTAGGTCTTTCTTCCAAACAGCATCTTAATACCATGTCAACATTTGTTACTTTCCATATTTTTATATTAATTGTTCTAGGGGGGAAATCAGGAGCTCTGGTCACTAAATAGGTACGGAGTTGTGCTGTCAACCCAAAGGGAAGTGTTTCAAATCCTACAACTGGTCTGAGGGAGAAAGACAAGCAATTGCCTCCTGTGCAATTTATAGTCTCTGCAAACATGGAACATTAGCTATGAGTCAGTTCCAAATAAATGGCACATAACAGTAAGAGGAGAATAAACTTGTACCTCATTTTTGTTTTCACTTGCATCTCCCTTAATGACTAAAGATGTTGAAAATATTCTTCGTGAAAACGTACATAATATTAGTCTCCAACAACATGGGCCAAATTTCATTATCCTCATGTAGTAAAAGTAATTACATAAAATTACAATTACATAAAATAAAAACTTGCTAGCTCTTTAGTCTACACATCACTATAGACCTAAAAGATGTTCATCATAACTAGAAGTGATTATGTTTACCATAATCAGAAGTGACTGATAATATCACTTCTTTGAAGTTCTGTCAACGACTGGTCAGTGCATTATCTGTTGTTCTGGACATGCAGACACCACTACAATTCACTGTCACCGAGTTGGTTCTGACTCACAGATGATTTTTTGAGGCTGTAAATCTCACATAAGTTGAGATCTATATTCCTCATAGCTGCTGGTAGGCACAGCCTGTGAGTTAGCAGGGCTACTTCCTCATGCACTGACAGCAAAGACAAACCTAGATGACACATTCTTAATGAGTAATGAAAGGAGAAATTTGGCCAACAAAAATGAAAATGAGCAAAAATAAAAACAAACCAAAAACAGAGTATTAAAACTGACAGTGATACTTTAAATCAGCGGTGAGGAAAATGATCAGATCCTAGAGGAAATAATGCCAGCACCTAACTTTTTAAAGAACACTCAGATGTTTCCTAACATTGAAAACACAAAGGATAAATCAAATCATCAGATCTGAGAAATCACACACACACACACACACAAAATCAGTCGAAATAGACTAATGCAAGCTTCAATTATCTTAACTCTAAGAAGACACAGAAGGCACCTGGCTACCTACTGCTGAGTGTCCGAGACAGCGGAAAAAAGCATGGAACAAAAACAAAAATCC